TTTTAAAGACAGGTAAAATTACTTTTTCTTTGACAACAAGGATGAGTAGAATTTCCATGCTTGCTTGGTATGTAGAGAGTCACATGTGCAGTCCCTAATATTTCAAATTTAAAATAATTGGGAAGTAGGTGGGGAAAAAAAATTCTCTGTCTAAAATTCTGAAAAGCTATTTTTCCTTGAAGTAGACAACCTTGTATTCAACTCTCCTTTCTTTTTGGAGTTCCTTTTCCACCAATATTGTTAACATTTAGATTGTAATATTTTCGAAACAAGTTTGGAACCTTGACTAAACTGAAGTGCATGCAGAATTTTGTGACACTACAGCTTGCTTGGTCTGTGAGACTCCAATTAATATAACCTGCAAAACTATTGATATTGGAGTTTTGATATTTTTTGACAGAGGTTCATTAGCTTATTCATTTTTGGCATTCTTTCTTGTATTTTTTTTAATAGTGTGCACCTGCATGGTTGCTGTCTAGCCTGTCTCTTTTTTTCAGTCACGACTGTATATTTGTTCTGAGATTGCTGTATTTTCTTAAAATGTGAAAAAGTGCTTCTTCTCTGAGCTCCATTGTAGCTTTGTGGCTGACTGCCAGGTTGGATCCATTGTATGAAATATTTAATACTGCTTTGCAAGCAGAGGGATTGTGTTCTTTTTAGATTTATCTTGGATCTTATAAAACATGCAAGAACAAGAGGGGAAAAACAGTATAAGAGGGATGAAGACGAGTATTTGAATTCAAAGACAAACAAATTTTTTCTTGCACACAAATACACATCATGTGAATCAAAAAATTATTTCTTCAAGTATTCTGTAAAATTATTTTTAATATGATCACAGATATCTGTATTGCTTCTTTTGCTAAAAGCTGTGTGGGATTAGTAAAATTTAATTAGAAAGAGTTAGATTCTACTGTTCCTTCATGAAAGCAAAAATACGAATGTGCTTCTTGTTGTCCATCTGATCTAGCATTTTATTTTCATGGTGGCCAGCTGCATAAAAACATATATTCACATGTGGGTCTGTTATATCAGTTATAGCAAATAAGAATATTTAACAAATGGAATGCTCGTGCATGTTTGTGTCACACACTGGACAATCACTGGGACACTTGTAATAGATAGTATTTACTCCTGTGTCTTCAGCAAGAATAGATTGTTGTTGGGTTTGATATAATGTAGAACTATCATTGTTTTAAATAAACTATAATGTTCTGTTATTTTTGAGATTGCCCAGCAACCAACCTAGATGACCAACTATGATTAGAGACCTTAATTTGAAACTCATCTGCAAGCCATTGTACCCTAAATAGCTGGCTGTGGTATCTGAGTTATCAAACTTGTCAGTTTATAGTTAGGTGATTATGTCATCCAAACAACTGTTGCAGCAGTGAATTAATACTGAAATTGAATGCTGAGCTCAAAATATGGCTTAATTTTTTAACCAGGGCAGGGGAATTTAAAAGACTAGTCTGGCCATTGATTAACTCTTTTAAATCTATTTAAAGCGCAGTGAAGATTATTCTAGATTATTTTGCTTATTGTTAGGTTACTTTAGATTACCTGTATTTTTTTCAACATGGCAATTTTACAGTGGATAGATTTCAACTCTGAAAAATTCTTTGCTGACTGGGGAATTCTGAGGGTTTAAACTCACACATCTTAAAGTTGTTCTATTCTATTCTATTCTATTCTATTCTATTCTATTCTATTCTATTCTATTCTATTCTATTCTATTCTAGTCTAGTCTATTCTAGTCTAGTCTAGTCTAGTCTAGTCTAGTCTAGTCTAGTCTAATCCAGTCCAGTCCAATCCAGTCCAGTCCAGTCCAGTCCAGTCTAGTCTATAGTTGCCAACTTTGAAAAACAGTTTTTCAGAATAGAAAGCTATAAGCACTGACATGAATATTTATGTATGAGTTAGGTATCTTACAGATTTTTTAATCAATCAGTTATTGTCATTTTTTGGCAAAGGTGGTAGCTTATCTTGTTAACTAAGAGTGTATTGATGACACATATCAACAATTTGGTATTTGAGTTAATTATTGATTTGATTTGATTTGATTTGCATGGCTACTAACCTCACTCCATGCCAGGAAGCTAACAACGAATAACAATTAAAATGCCATCAAAGCAGCATAAGAAAAACTGTAAAGACAGCTGAGGTAAAGATCCAGTTGACAATAACTCAAAACCCACAATGGCCAACTAACGAGCTGACTCTCAAGCCCATGGAGTTTCCTAATCATGTCATCAAATTGTCAGGATCAGATAATGAGCTAGAAGGCAGAGTGAGTTAAGATACTCCAGAGAAAACAAATTTTGACATAAGCACAATGCAGCATTAACACTGTACAGGTAGGCTGCAATTAGTACAAGTTTGAATAATGCAGTACTTAATTTAGTGCAAATTACAAGTTGATACCAGTTCACGTTTGGACTTCCGGGGGAAGCATGGCAAACTGAACATGATTCTGTGAAAGCGAAGCCAACAATCATGTCCAAAACCAAAGAACCAGTAAGGAGACTTGTTCCCTGGATCATCTCTGGAAAAGAAGAGGATGGGTCATGTCTGCATGTGATCTGGACAGTGCTTTTGTAAGAAGACTGCAGGAGCAGCTTTCCATTTTCTGTGGGTTTCAGAACTAGGAGGTGATGGGATCAACAATATTGCTTGCAATAGGGGCAAAACTTTTTAAATGACACTAAGTTTGCAAACCTCACCAATCGTTTTCAGAAATTATCTGTTAACCATTGTAAAGCTTTTAGAGATCTTTGGAACAACAAATTTGAAACGTTGAAAAATTAGGTCAGCTTTTCTTCAATTTGAACAAGAAGAATATTAATTATAAGGCTAAGAACTTAAAAAAATCTGAAATGAACAGCAAAAAGCCAAATAAGATTTTGATCTTAGGAAATTATAAGTGGAATAAAGATCCAAGGAAATTTGGAATATTGAAACTACAATAAAACTTTGGAATTAAGTATAAAGAATAAGCAGCTTTTTATGGGAAATAGATCTGTTTTGGTTTATGGAGATATAAGAGATAAGCAAAAATTGGATACGAAAAGAACCTAAAGATTTTAGGCAGAGGAAAAAATATGCAAGCCTATAAAATGTAAAAGACTCGTTTTCAAAATACTTTTGAAAACTGGAGTCAGAAATAGATAGCCAGGTTATCAACAATGTCATAATAATGTCTATGCACTGATTATGTCCAAAACATATTATTGAATAAATGATAGTTGCAGAACAAAATTTATCTGACAAGATGATGAGACAAGAGAACGGCTTGGAAAAAGGAATAAGCATCTTTATTAACAATTTCCTGAATCTAAAACAGTTTACAAACTATCAAATTGCTAAACAAAATACTTGGTATCTGTGCTTTAATGGAATAACTGTCTGGCAGCAATATCGTAAACACTTGAGGTCTAGATCCCATTATTCCTAAGAAGCATTAGATGTTTAAATCATTGATTTTGACTGCAGAAATCCTGGGATTTCTCATGTTTGGATTTGAAATAAACCTACAGGGCTTGATCCTTTATGGTATTTGTGATAAATATTTTAATTAAGTATGTTGGAATATCAGGTGAATGTCCTGATAAAAATATTGTCCTGCCAGATCTAAAGGTATCAGATAACTTAATCCCTCATCTGATTTTTAACAAGTGAAAACAAAGATGGAAGAATTTCTGGGAAAACATTAGGAATTTCCAAGTGAATCAAACTATTGTCTAGAAATGTCTTCCCACCTCCCAAGTTCTGTTTTTAAGGCAAGATAATTATATAATCAAAGCCTTTGGAAGTTTTCTTCTTAATTATTATATTATGTAATGATTAGATTTTGCAAATAAAGAGGAATTTAAAAAATGGTGTCTTGGATGATGGCCTGACAAGTTTACTTGAAATGCTTTGGAGTTGATAGAGCTGCTCTCTACCTATTTGTAAAGGTTGGATTATGTTGTCATATTGGGTTTAATTGAACAGTCCCAGTTTTATTGTGAAAACCTATTCACTGCCCTGCATGGTTACAGATGTTGAACAGAAAGGTTGGAGGCATAACAACCCAGAATAAACATACCAATATCTATTTTGATCCTTTATTACAAACCTGTTGGACTATAATTTCCCTCATCTTCTATAAAAATAGTCATGTTGACCATTGATTATGAGAATGGGGTACTATTATTTTGAGAAAGCTTGTTGAAGTAGCTTAAAGTGGAGTCAGTGATGAAACAGAGCCCACTGTAAAGAAAGCATCTGGATGGTGGCTTTTCTTTTGAACCTAATGTAACTGTTGGAAACAGCAAATAAGGAAACCCAACCAATGAATGAATCAATCAAATCTTTATTATGGTTATAGACCAGGGGTAGGCAACCTTGGCTCTTTTATGACTCGTGGACTTCAACTCTCAGAATTCTGAGCCAGCTATGCTGCCTCAGGAATTCTGGGAGTTGAAGTCCATGAGTCATAAAAGAGCCAAGGTTGCCAACCCTTTATAGACTAACATAATGAAGGTGGAATACAACCAATAATTTTTAAACACCTAAAAGCATTAAAACAAAAATTTCACAAAATTAAAAAACATAAAAGATACAATTTAAAAAAAAGCTAGAAAATATTTAAAAAGTCTAAAAAATCGATAGGCAAGGGTAGAAACGTTAGATAAATACAAGGAAACATTAAGGCTAGTTTGAGGCACAGGAATCAGAGATTTTAAGTGCTGCTGAGCAGAACCTGGCGACATATGTTTGTAACAGGTTAGAATTTGCAAGCAGCAGAGAGAAATACAACATTTTCCTGCCTAGCCTGGATATTTCTACTGTGATGGTGAAATGAGGCTAGCACAAATGTAATACAGACACTGGAGAAGAAGTCTTGTTTCTAGTGTCTTCACAGTCACAGGGGCATTGAAGAAAACTTTAATGTGTTTCTGTTTTCACCTGTCTATTTATTTTATTGTTCTCTGTTTCCTGTCTCCCTTTGTCCCAAGGCGATGCTTGTTGTGCATGATACTGTTGCTCAGAAGAATTTTGACCCTGTTCTCCCTCCATTGTTGGATAATATTGACGATGATTTTGATGAAGAATCAGTGAAAATAGTTCGTCTAGTAAAGAATAAAGAACCTCTGGTATGTATGCTTGATGCTGATAAGAACAAAAAGCTGTTGGGATTAAAATAACTACGGGACATTTTTTAGATATAAAAATGATTCCAGAGGATAAAAACAGAAAAGGAGTGGAGAAGTAAAGATGGTTCTGTAAGGATGAATCTCCTTGGCAGTGTTGACTACTTCCAGCATGATTAACAGCTTCTGTCCTACCCATAAAATGTCCATATTTTCATATTTGGATGGCACAGTAAGCCAAACACCATCTGATTTAGTATGTTGTGTAAACATGATTATTCTGTGAAGAAGTATTTTGAATCTTGTGCTCCAAACTGGCTGCCAATCAGATTCCTTAATGATTTCATTCTGGTGTTATAGAATCCAAAGCTAATAGCTTCTCATTTCCAAACTATGGCAACCCAGGCCAATATAGGCAATGACAAGGCATTGTGGGAATTGTGAACCAATTTGTGTTAGTTCCTTTTTCAGCACAGTTGTTTTGGTTTTCTGTTAATAGATAGATGTAAGTAAAGATTTATTAGATTTTAAAGTCCTTAAATATTTGGAACTTATCTGATAAATCGTCTGTCTGAGATTTAAGCTCAACATATGTAATCCTGAGTTTTGCTCCAACTTTCATATGTGAATAAACAGGAAATATATCAGTTTCTTACTCTCCTATGTTAAATTAATTTGAACTCATTTCTACATGTTCCCCATATTTTAAATTTATTTAAGAATGTATTCACATTTTCTTGAACATTTTTTCTATTAATATACATATTTTCGGTGTCTCATATACATGTTTTGCCAGCCATATTCCTGATTTAATTTAGATTGTATAGGTATTCCCATAATTATATATGCATTTGCATATATCATTGTTGAGATGTGAACTCAGTTTCAGAATTTATAAAAGTACTTTCCCTGTAAGTAATGCCTGAATTGTATTTATGTTTAGGAATGGGATAGGCACATAGGAAATGATCAAAGTACAGGTAGTCCTTGCCTAGCAACCACAAATGGGACTGGTAACTCTGTTGTTAAATAACATGTTCACTAAGTGTGACATCATGTGACCGTGATGCGTGATTTTACTGCCAGCTTCTCCATTGATTCTGCTTATTGGGTTAGCTTATGAAGTATGCAAATGGCAATTATGTGAACAAGGAATGCTATAATGGTGACAAATGCTTGCCAGTTGTGAAGTGCTCAAATCTCAAATCATGTGACTGTGAGGAAGCTACCATGGTCATAAATGTGAGGACTGCTTGTAAAGTTATTTTTCCAGCGCTATTGTACCATCAAACCGTCACCAAACAGGGCTGTCATTAAGTAAGTCTATATGTAGCATAAACATGTGAACTGAATGAATTTCATTCTGTCTCTAGCAGAATCATCAGGGAATACCAGGATCTCCAGGAATGTCCTGATTTGGGAATTGTTTATAGCCCTCTTTTTATGGATTTCTAGAATTATGTATTACAGCTTGCACTGGTTCATTTTAGAGTACAGTGCTTTTATCTGCTGCTGATATTTTATTTATTCTATTTCAATGAATAGTGTATTGAATATTGTTATAGTATGATTATTAACCTTATGAGGACTTTTATCCTGAAAAAATGAAAAAGTGTAATATTCCTATTAATAAACAATCCCGTTATTAACAAGAGGAAGTACTTGGGGAATCAGCTGGAATTGCAGCAGATGTAGCAGGACAGATCAAAGAAAACATTTCTTCATGCATCTTATAATTAATAGAATCACTTCTATTAATCTTGGATTAGGTTGCATTAAAGTGGACTTGGTTAAATTCACAGAGGATAGAACTAGCCGTAGCTATTAACTGTTACAGCTACATAGAATTTCCAGAGGCCATGTCATAATGAATATTAATTGCTGAGTGGGATCAAAAAACGAGACGAGAGTATTGTTTTCATATCTTGCTCTAGGTTCTCCCCAGCTTGTATTTGACCATCATATGTTATGAGGTTTTTCTTTTAGGCTTAATTGACCAAGCCTATTCTGATGTGCCAGGCTAGAGCTGTGCGCTGATGGGTCTTTTGTTTCTCCTTTAGGGTGCAACTATCAGGAGGGATGAACACACAGGGGCTGTAATTGTTGCCCGCATCATGAGGGGAGGGGCAGCTGATCGCAGTGGTATGTTTCCCTAAATTGCAGAATTCCTTTTTTTTAATGAGAGAAGACAAGCTTTCTCTGAGTCCGCTTAGGATTTTTATTTTTTCTGAAAAACATATGAGACTTTGATTCTCTTCTGTAGGTCAGGTGGATCACAGCACTAGTGCTGGAAATTTTGGACATTTTTGTATTGGAAGAATAGCATCTTTTATTTATGTTTTCCTATTCCTAAATTATATCAAGATTGATTTGCCAGCACAAGTAACGCCTGTCAAGTTCACTTCTAGCAGATGTACTTGGATCCAAGTGTGGAAAGGGTGTATTTTTGGTAGCCTGCAGAATTCAAGTTGAAGTTGTAGGTTATAAAGAATATAATTCTGAAAGGTCCTGTAATTCCTTCCTTATGAATTATTACCATAGGAGTATCCAGAATTGTGTGGGTTTCCCAAAGATGATGATTATTATTATTATTATTATTATTTCTTGGAGGGTTACCAGAGCAACACTTTCCGTGCTTTGTGAAATAAAGCTGAATGAAATTGAGTGAAACAAAGCTTTGTAGTGAAAGCTGAGAGAGATGATGAGTATTATTGTCTCTAAACTGTTTGAAAATTTAACCAAGGACTGAGTAAGTACAGTAAAAAAAAATCAATTTTTGATAAAAGGAGCTGCAAACTTCCTTTGAACTATAAAAAACATATTAATATTTTAACTAAATCTACCTTAGATAGAAAAAGAAAATGATGGAATGGTGAGAAATGATTCATCTTTCATAACTGCATTCAAAGCTATAGAAGCTGTGGTACCACAGATGCTCTTGGACTCTGCCACCCATCAGGAATTAGCCAGCAAGGCCTGATTATAGGGATGTAGTCCAGGGACAGGAAATCAAGACATATTTTCCTTTCACATTGTGCAGTGGAGAAGCAAACTCAGTAACTAGGAATTAATAATTAGGAACAAGGAACCTATCATATAAGCAGCGGCCCCCAACCTTTTGGGCACCGGGGACTGGTTCCATGGAGAGAGTTTTTTCTGTGGACCAGAGGGGGCGTGGTTTCGCATGCTGCTTGCATCCTTCGCATGTTTGCCCAGCCTGATTGCTGGCATGCCACGGCCAGATGCCAGTCCATGGACCAGGTGTTGGAGACCCCTGTTCTAAAGCAGGAGAGGATTGTTGTTGTTGTTTCAATTATTTTGGGGGACCGCAATCAATGTTGCTTGTTGGCAAACTGTATTTTAAAATTTTTAGTTCAGATTTAAAAACAAACAAATACGTATGACATTCTGCTATGGGCTCAGTGCAGGTAGCTGCTGCCAGAACAGGATAAGGTTGGGAGAGATTATGTCTACAAATCTCCATTTTGCTGCCAATTTCTGGTAGCTCTTGATCCTAGGCTTCCTGGAACTGTCAGAACTGGAGACACATATGGTTGCTGGCTTCTGCTCAAGACCATCCCATCTTTTCTCCTTAGAATAACATGCAAATATGGGGAAATGACTGTTTTAAGATCATTTGGTGAGCTTCGCAGATGATTTTAAGGTTTAATTTCTGTTTCTTCTGATCCCAGGCTTGGAAATACGGTAGGCTTTTGGTAACATTTTCTTACTTGGGATGGGACTTACTTTTCTATTGTGAGTCATCAGATTTGCTACATGCCACACATATATGGAGCTTTTGCTATCTAAAATAGATGGTTGACCTCATATTTTTCGTGTTTCCTTCCTAGGTCTTGTCCATGTTGGAGATGAGCTGCGGGAAGTTAATGGAATTGCTGTACTTCACAAACGACCAGAAGAAATTAGCCAGATTTTGGTTTGTTTTGCCTTTTCCACACATAAGTATTGTTCACAAGACACACTAAACTAGCGAACCTTTTAGAAACTGAGTGCCCAAACTGCAACCCAAAACCCACTTATTTATTGCAAAGTGCCAGGGCTGCATCAGCATTGTGGTTCCCTCAAGGAGGGTGGGGTGTGTGGCCCACTGGGTGGGCATGGCTAGGGTGGTCACAGCAGACTGGGTGGGTGTGGCCAAGTAGGTGTGGCCACCTCGATACTGTAACATCTCTACTTGAGCTTGCTAGCCGGCCATTTTGCCTGATTTGTGCTGGCGGGGCTGCTGCTCCAGGTGACGGCAGCCTAATGGACCTGCGCGAGCTGCTAGTGGCCGTGGTGCGTGCGCCTACAGAGAGGGCTTTGAGTGCCGCCTCTGGCACGTGTGCCATAGGTTCGCCACCACTGCACTAAACCATAAATTGCCAACTGGATTTTAGCTAATATACTAGGAATGATTCTGGAACTGTGGCTAGATTATAGTTCAATGGGTCACGCGAACCCAGAAAATATAAGCTACAATTAATCATGGGCAAATTGGTAATGGCAGCTTGCTTAAGACTGCAATTACATACAAACTTGCCTGAAAATAAATATTTTTTGATTCCTTGGGACTTATGTTTGAATAGATTCTGACAAGTAAAACTATTTCTCCACATAGTTGAGAAATAGTTGAATTATCAACTAAGTAAGAAGATGACATGATTATTTGGGCAGTGTATTTCTAAAAGAAGACTATTGATTTACTACAAGTCCTCCTTTGTTTGAGGTCTTTAAAAAGAGTCTGGATGGGCATCTTTCAGTGATTCTCTAGTGCAAAGTTTCTCAACCTTGGCAAATTTAAGCTATAGGGACTTCAACTCCCAGTTCATCAGCCAGTTCAGCCAGCTGAAGTCTATGTCTCTTAAAGGTTGAGAAACATTAGTGTTTCCAGCTCTGAGCAGATGGTTGGTTTAGGTCAGGGGTAGGCAACCTTGGCTCTTGTATGACTCCTGGATTTCAAATCCCAGAATTCCCATGGCTGGCTCAGGAATTCTGGGATTTGAAATCCATGAGTCATAAAAGAGCCAAGGTTGCCTACCCCTGGTTTAGGTGATTTATATGATATCTTTCCACTCTGATTCTGCTTATAAAAGCTGCTGCTAGTAGGCATTTCTTTCTTTGACTCTTACTCACTCACAGGATGCCTGCTGCAATAATGAATATTTGGATTGTGTGCATATATACATAATCCAGATATACAAGTTTTGATTTCCATATTGCCAATTTAAAAAGATGAAGAATCAATGAATCCAAAAAACTTATTCCACTTGAAATGTTGGAGAAGATTGTTAGTAAGAGTAGGCAATATTGGGGAAAATAGACAAATACTCTTGTCTTTATGTAAGTTTCGCCAATAGGTTTCCAATGCTTCTAAAGAAAAAAAAATACTATTATTCTTGTTAGGGATAGGAATGTGGTGGCCTGGTGGGTAGTTTTGTAATTTTAAGATTATGTGATAAGTGCTCTCACAAAACGACTGCATAGGTGAGTGCAGCTAGGCACAAGCCATGCATTTACCCAAAGTGATACAAATGAGAGAGCTTTCCATCTAGAGTAGGGGTGTCAAACTCGCAACATCACGTGACATGTCACAACTTTTTTCCATTGCCGGCAATGGGGTGAGCATGGTTTTGCCATGACGCATCCGGTCTGCGGACCAGCAGTTTCATACCCCTGATCTAGAGCTTCCACATCTTGTCTGCAGAAACATTGATAACCAGCAGATGGGAGTAGAGAGTTACCTTTTCTCAATGTTAGTTTTTCAGGATTTTGATTATGGATCTGGTTTTATCTTAGCCATTAACATTTATCTAGAACTACTATATACTGTAGGTAGTTCTGGATAACCAGAATGCTATCAAATGATGATTGTTTAAATGTTTGTGCCCGAGTACAGTATAGAACTTCTAGGAGGCTATCTGTAAATTTAGTAGTCTTTCTTTACTGGATAAAGTATTGACAATACCATTGCCATATAAGGTAGTTTTTGGAATTCAGAAACAGTCTAGAAAATAAAGAAAATGTTGGATGTCTACTTCTCATTCAATTTTATTTAATTATATGAAAACTGAAAGGACAAAACATCTAGTGAGCTGCAGTAGAAAAAGTCTCTTTGGGTACATAGTTGTGAATATGGCATATTCACAACATATGACAACTCCTGGCATTCCTCCAAACTGAACATAATTGATTATGAGTTAATCCACCAACAGATTAGTAAGAAAGTAAATGCCAAATAGCCACTGACTTTGTCCATAGCTGATTTTTGTGTTCTCCAAAAGAGTCTTATAGCTGCAGTCATCCTACTAGTGTTGAGATCTATTTACTCTTTCCCTTCTTTAATTGTGGAGTCACAAGCTATACCTCTTCCATGCCAGAGAGGAAATGACATACGTGGTGACTCCTACACAAAGGGGCTCAAAATAAGATACACATAGCTATTGCAATAGCCAATGACATTCTCAAGGTCTCTTCCAAATTAAGTAAGAATTACAGTAGTGGGCGGGCAAGAATATAGAGTCACCAAGGGCACCTGAATCATCAGCACTGCTTTCCTTTCTTTTTAAAGGAAATAAGGGAAAAAACAGCAAATATCATTCATTCCTCCATTGTCATCACAATGAAAAGCAGGATGTTCTAAAGAGGGTCATGAAGGAGTGTTTTTCCTTGAGCCAATGTGTTTTGCAATTAAGTGTGGGCGTCTGTGCTGGGACTGTATTGTGTTGCAATTTCTTGGAAGAATTAATGGAAGTTCTTTAATTTGATGGAGGAACAGAGAACTTGCCAGCCAAGAATTTCAAGTTCAACTCCTGGCATCTCCATCTAATAGGCTTGAAATCTTTAGGATTCTCATTAAAAGGGATTCAGAAGGCTCAGTGAATATGGCTGCCCAGATACTATTAAGTGGTGTATGGAATCAACCAATTTCCCTATTTCACTCAGTAAGCTGATCATAAATTAATCAAAGAGATTTACAATAAATCGAACAACTTAATAAACCACATGAATACAACCCTCCCCCCATAACCAAGGTTAAAAATAACCAAGATTATCATCTTGTGTAAATGTAGCTGGTAGGTATATAACTGATCTAATTAAGTATTATATGAACAGGTCCATGGAATCAGTCAGAGTATTTAATGCTGGGCAAGATAAAATCAACATAACTACTTGGACTAAGACCAATTCGGCCTAAAGCAAGAGACCAATTCAGTCTCTTTAACTAATAAGGTTCTTCTGAGTAAGACATGCAAACAAGTATTACATTCCTCTCCACCATCACACACACACACACACACCAACCTACTGCAATTACAAGTGAGATTTCAAAGTACCTACATTTTTCATTTCAGAATAAAGTCAAATCCAATCAAGTGGGTGGAGGGAAAGAGCTTCTCTCAGTGGATCCAAAAGTATGCCTGTCTCCTTTCATGCCAAGTGTACTTGAATTATATGCTAGTAGGATTAGGGTTAATAATTGCCATAGAGTTGAGGAAATTCAATGCCTCTGGGTCATTCCTGAACATTTAGGAATGAGTACAACTGACCCTTTTTTCAACTTAGCTGTGAAAATGTTTTGCTGGCTATCACTAAAAATTTGACATTTAGTTTTAAGCCTGGATTTAAGGACACAGCCAAGAGAGTACAATCCTACTTTTTTAATAACTAGAATTGAGTTTCAATATATTTTAAAATAATATTTGTTAAAAAAAATGGTTTGGGCAATTTATAAGGCTACCTTCCGAGAATGGCTTTCTCATACTTATATGGGAGTAAAGCTGTAATAAGCTGATTATTTTCGATTCTTGCCTATATTGCATATGCTTATTTGTCTGTTCATTCTGTCCTGCTTATGCAGAAATCTGTTTATTTCAGAAAAAAGTCTACATGAAGATTTTTTGATGTTTGTATGCCTTTTACAGTAATGTACACATTTTAACATGCTAGTACAAAATTTTGCTCTGTTTTCCAAATAAACAACTGTTATGATGCTAGGGATGGTGTAGAACTGAGGACACAAAATACCTTTCATGCATATATTAGATTCAGAAGCAGAAATCCACTTCAAAATTCTTTTTTTTTATTTGAAAATTTTTAAATTTTACAAAACAAATCCCTTCCCCAGACCCCCCCACCCTCCCATACCCTCCCCCTCTCCCCAGACCTCCCATACCCTCCCCCAACCTTCTCAGAGTTGAGTACAGGCTTAATTAAAATTTTTCAAAAAAAAACTTAAAACACATATAAATCCTAAGCAAATCTAAATACATTAAATTAAACAGATTATCTTCTCTAAAAAATAATAATTACAATCATTAAACATGTTATAATATACTCTAAACATTTTCTAATATCATACTTATATTATTATCTATCATTCTTTATAAACTCCCTCCAAAACACAAATTTAAACATTACTTTCTTTAAATGTCTATACCTACAATATAAAATCTAATCTCTCCCTCTTTCTTTATCTAAAACAGAAAAATAAACATATAAACATTCATTATACCATTAAGACTAAATACTCTTTTGAATACTTAAACTAAGTACTTAAACTTAAACTTCTTATCTAAAATTTTCATTCAATCTCTCTCCTAACAAAAAAAAACAAACTTGAAAAACATATAGTTCCTAAACAAATCTAAATACATTTAATTAAACGAGTTATCTTCTCTTAAAAATAATAATAAAAATAAAAAAATAAAAAAACTCAACCATTAAACACATTATAATATACTCTGAACCTTTTCATATCATACTTATATTATTATCCATCATTCTTTATAAACTCCCTCCAAAACACAAATTTAAACATTACTTAAAACATTGAAATTCCCTTATACATTCTTAAATCTTTACCAATAACAAATTCCATCCACAATAAATACATTCCTTATCAGTCTCTCTTATCCATAAACCTCAAAAGAAATACTT